CAAAAACAAAAACTGATTTTCCTCGCAGCGATTGCAGACACGTACATGTTTTTGTTTTAAGTATTTTATTAAATAATAAATTGGAAAAGTATTTACCTGCTTAGATGCCTATAAAAATGTAACATAATACAGAAAATTTAATTGCATTCCTTTGCTCTGCTCTCAAATTACTTTCAGGTGAAAAGGAGCATCGCTGAAACTCATCAAAGTTCGAAATTTTTACACGGGTAAGTTTTAATTTGATGTCTCGTCTATTACAATTTCTTCTTCTTCTTCTTGTTTTAACTGCTCTAAAGCAATTGAAGCCCATTCGATGTTTAGCATCTCTACAGTCATTGAAATTATCTACTTTTTCGAATGGGCGAAGTTTTGCGTCGAACCGGCCAATTTGCTGCGCAATATGCCAGCCGTTAACGCATCGCAAAAGTGAATCGCAAGAGGCTGGGTGGCGCAAGAGGCTGACTTGACGAATAGAGTAGTCTCGGTCATTGCGCTACATACCCGTTAGAGAGGTAGCGTTTTTGCATCGCACAATTTGACGTTTTAGAACTTCCGTCGTTTCTATGCAGAATATTTTCACAACTTATCTGCAAGTTTTTAGTTTTTATTTCGGGTTAAAAAGTTTTCACTATAAATTTAACGCAATTTGCGTGATCATCAACCACAGCAACTGCCGGCTGGGCAACTAGAAGTGTAGAGTACATAGCTTGAAAGGGGTGAGAACGCAGTCTACGGCAGTAGGAGGCAGCGAGCGGGAGATGTGTCTGTTGGAGCGCTGACTTTGACTGTCATTAGTCAGACGCTGCTAAGGGGCACTTGAATGCGGGTGCGTGAGCAGCTAAAGCACCACAAGTCAACCAGTTTTAGCTAGTTTACGCTATTGGCGAAAAGTTTCCTTCTAAACGTCGCAGGCAGGGCGAGAAGCTGAGTGCATTGGCTGAGGTTTGTTTTTTTTTGCTCGCTGATTTTCTTCACCACTTTTAGTCGGCTAAGCCCATTTCTTTTTATTTGTGTACTCTGCAAATTACTTTTCTTGCTTGGTGGAGTTGACTGCTAAACTTTATATACATATGTACTTACTTAGCAGAGGGAGTTGTAAACATTTAGGTGGGAGGGATGTTTAAGGCGCGATTATTTTTAAGCAGCAGTCTTTTGTAAATTTATATGAGTAAAGTTTTACTGCTTGATATGTATAGACAGCTAATTGAGGCATGTTGTAGTTTTAGTGATGGCTTCTAAAGCGCGAGTGATTTAAGTGGCAATGTAGGAGCGGTAAAAATGCAGTGAAAATTTATAATTCGTTTGTACGCCGCACAAGCTTCTCACAAGTTTTCTTCCTAGTTAATTCAAGAGCTATCATTTTTTATTCAAATTAGGGAACTAAGCTTGATGTGATTACTAGTGTTTCACTCAAGTGTGACTATTTAATACTTTTTGGTTGGCAACAGAAAGTTATGCATATAAAAATTCATTCAAATGAATGGCTCAAAGCAATAAAAAATTTAAATAATACATATTTGGCAATTGAGTGGATCTAGCCGCATGTGTAGAAAGTTTATAATAAACCGCGAACGTGAAATCTTTCTTTGAGAGGCTTTTAGAGACATACAAAATTTCGACTTACTTCGCCTAAAATTGGTGTTTTTTTTGTTAACGTACTTTATTTGTAGACTGCTTTGGAAACTGTAGTAGTGCTATATTTGTTAAAAGATTAAAAAAAAACACTGGCTTTCTCCATCAAATTTTGAAAACGCAAAATAAGAAAGATGTATAGTAATTTTCCCACGTTGTGGCAAATCACGCCGAAATGACCACTGTTAAGAACAATTCATCCAAAAGTGTACCTTAAAAACTAGCTTGTAAGTGCATACAAAGGGCACACAATTTATATATTTTTTTTTTAATTTTTTGCATGCTATCTAAGACATTTGTTAGTTCAGTGAGTTGTTTCATTGCGTGGGAATAGAAAAGCAATCCGAAAAATGCCCAAAAATCCTTAAAAAACACTTGGAAAATGTTTCGAAAATTAAAACACGAACCTCCTCGATAAAAACCAAATTAAAAATAGAAAAAAACAAAAAAATTCTGAAAACCAAAAAAGTTTCGAAAAGTAAAATACGAAGAATACTGGTACGTTCCAAATAACTTTGAAAGGCCCAGAGAAATTTCAACAAAATACGAAATATTTTCTGAGAAATGCTGAGAACATCCCCAAAAGTAATAGACAATCCAATTTGAAAAAAAAACTTAAAAACATCCAGAAAAGTTGCGAAGGTAAAGCACGAAACATACTGAAACGTTCCCGAGAAATTTTGACAAAATACCAAAAAAATTCTGAAAAAAGGAACAGTCCAGCGCCTTCGTCTTGGTCTGCAGGCTGTATCGGAGATACAGCCGCTATATTTAAACGTAGAATACGTGGTATGGTTAAGAGCATATCCAAGTCAAAAACGAAATCACACACTAAGAAAAAAAATATCGATATCAAAATCGATAAAAATATCGATAACAAAATCGATAAATAATCTATAATAAAATCGATAACAAAATCGATTAAAGTGTCGATAACAAAATCGATAAAAATATCGATCATTATATCGATAAGTTCCGAAAATATCGATAGAAAAATAAATAACAAAATCGATCATTAGATAAAAAAAGAGATAACAAAATCGATAAAAATATTGATCATTATATCGATAAGTTCCAAAAATATCGATAGCAAAATCAATAACAATATCGATAAAAATTTCGATAACAAAATCGATAAAAAAACCAACAAAATATCGATTATATCGATAAGTCCCGAGAATCCCTAAAATCCCGAAATAGTTCCGAGATTGAGTCTCTGTGCCTTTATCTATATCCTTTTCTCTACAACTACCTTTATTTTAATCTTTCTTCCTCTATCTTCATCTATACTTTTATCGGTATCCTCATCCGCATCTTTTTCTTTATATTTATCTTTGTTTTTATTTTTATGTTTATCATATTCTTCATATACATATTCCCCTTCACCTTTGCACTTATACATATAAGTAAAGTGTTTAAATTTACCTTGGTCTTCATGTTTGCCTTTATCTTTAGTCAACTTTGTTTTTGTGTTTATTTTTACCTTGGCCTTTATCCTTTTCTTTATCTATGTACGTCCTCACCTTTACTTTTATTCTTGGATTGGACTTTTTCTAAATGTTGTTTCACTTCGAAAAGTCTTCGCGTATTATGCATACATGTGTTCATATATGTATGTACATATATAATATGTATGTACATATGTATGTATAGACATACATAGATTACTAAAAA